TGGTACCTGTGGTACCTGGTGGTGGTACCTGTGGTACCTGTGGTGGTGGTACCTGTGGTGATGGTACCTGTGGTACCTGTGGTGATGGTACCTGTGGTGATGGTACCTGTGGTGGTGGTACCTGTGGTGATGGTACCTGTGGTACCAGTGGTACCTGTGGTGATGGTACCTGTGGTACCTGTGGTGATGGTACCTGTGGTGATGGTACCTGTGGTACCTGTGGTGATGGTACCTGTGGTACCTGTGTGATGGTACCTGTGGTGATGGTACCTGTGGTACCTGTGGTACCTGTGTGGTCTCTGTGGTACCTGTGTGGTCTCTGTGGTCTCTGTGGTACCTGTGGTGATGGTACGTGTGGTGATGGTACCTGTGGTGGTACCTGTGGTGATGGTGCCTGTGGTACCTGTGGTGATGGTACCTGTGTTACCTGTGGTGGTACCTGTGGTGATGGTACCTGTGGTACCTGTGGTGTACCTGTGGTGGTACCTGTGGTGGTGGTACCTGTGGTGATGGTACCTGTGGTACCTGTGGTGATGGTACCTGTGGTACCTGTGGTGGTGGTACCTGTGGTACCTGTGGTACATGTGGTCACCTGTGGTACCTGTGGTGATGGTACCTGTGGTGATGGTACCTGTGGTACCTGTGGTGATGGTACCTGTGGTGATGGTACCTGTGGTGATGGTCTGTGGTACCTGTGGTGATGGTACCTGTGGTGGTACCTGTGGTGATGGTGCCTGTGGTGATGGTGCCTGTGGTGATGGTGCCTGTGGTACCTGTGGTGGTGGTACCTGTGGTACCTGTGGTGATGGTACCTGTGGTACCTGTGGTGGTGGTACCTGTGGTACATGTGGTCACCTGTGGTACCTGTGGTGATGGTACCTGTGGTGATGGTACCTGTGGTACCTGTGGTGATGGTACCTGTGGTGATGGTACCTGTGGTGATGGTCCCTATGGTACCTGTGGTGATGGTCTGCGGTACCTGTGGTGATGGTACCTGTGGTGGTACCTGTGGTGATGGTGCCTGTGGTGATGGTGCCTGTGGTACCTGTGGTGATGGTACCTGTGGTACCTGTGGTACCTGTGGTGATGGTACCTGTGGTGATGGTACCTGTGGTGGTGGTGATGGTACCTGTGGTACCTGTGGTGATGGTACCTGTGGTGGTGGTGATGGTACCTGTGGTACCTGTGGTGATGGTACCTGTGGTGGTGGTACCTGTGGTGGTGGTGGTACCTGTGGTGGTGGTACCTGTGGTGATGGTACCTGTGGTTCCTGTGGTGATGGTACCTGTGGTACCTGTGGTGATGGTACCTGTGGTACCTGTGGTGGTGGTACCTGTGGTGATGGTACCTGTGGTACCTGTGGTGATGGTACCTGTGGTGATGGTACCTGTGGTACCTGTGGTGATGGTACCTGTGGTACCTGTGGTGATGGTACCTGTGGTACCTGTGGTACATGTGGTCACCTGTGGTACCTGTGGTGGTGGTACCTGTGGTGATGGTACCTGTGGTGGTGGTGATGGTACCTGTGGTGGTACCTGTGGTGGTGGTACCTGTGGTGATGGTACCTGTGGCACCTGTGGTCACCTGTGGTACCTGTGGTGGTGGTGGTACCTGTGGTGATGGTACCTGTGGTGATGGTACCTGTGGTGGTGGTGATGGTACCTGTGGTACCTGTGGTGGTACCTGTGGTGATGGTACCTGTGGTACCTGTGGCGATGGTACCTGTGTTACCTGTGGTGGTACCTGTGGTGATGGTACCTGTGGTACCTGTGGTGGTGGTACCTGTGGTACCTGTGGTGGTGGTACCTGTGGTGATGGTACCTGTGGTACCTGTGGTACCTGTGGTGATGGTACCTGTGGTGATGGTACCTGTGGTGGTGGTACCTGTGGTGATGGTACCTGTGGTACCTGTGGTGATGGTACCTGTGGTACCTGTGGTGATGGTACCTGTGGTGATGGTACCTGTGGTACCTGTGGTGATGGTACCTGTGGTACCTGTGGTGATGGTACCTGTGGTGATGGTACCTGTGGTACCTGTGGTGATGGTCCCTATGGTACCTGTGGTGATGGTCTCTGTGGTACCTGTGGTGATGGTACGTGTGGTGATGGTACCTGTGGTGGTACCTGTGGTGATGGTGCCTGTGGTACCTGTGGTGATGGTACCTGTGTTACCTGTGGTGGTACCTGTGGTGATGGTACCTGTGGTACCTGTGGTGGTACCTGTGGTGGTACCTGTGGTGGTGGTACCTGTGGTGATGGTACCTGTGGTACCTGTGGTGATGGTACCTGTGGTACCTGTGGTGGTGGTACCTGTGGTACCTGTGGTACATGTGGTCACCTGTGGTACCTGTGGTGATGGTACCTGTGGTGATGGTACCTGTGGTACCTGTGGTGATGGTACCTGTGGTGATGGTACCTGTGGTGATGGTCCCTATGGTACCTGTGGTGATGGTCTGCGGTACCTGTGGTGATGGTACCTGTGGTGGTACCTGTGGTGATGGTGCCTGTGGTACCTGTGGTGATGGTACCTGTGGTACCTGTGGTGATGGTACCTGTGGTGATGGTACCTGTGGTGGTGGTGATGGTACCTGTGGTACCTGTGGTGATGGTACCTGTGGTGGTGGTGATGGTACCTGTGGTACCTGTGGTGATGGTACCTGTGGTGGTGGTACCTGTGGTGGTGGTGGTACCTGTGGTGGTGGTACCTGTGGTGATGGTACCTGTGGTTCCTGTGGTGATGGTACCTGTGGTACCTGTGGTGATGGTACCTGTGGTACCTGTGGTGGTGGTACCTGTGGTGATGGTACCTGTGGTACCTGTGGTGATGGTACCTGTGGTGATGGTACCTGTGGTACCTGTGGTGATGGTACCTGTGGTACCTGTGGTACATGTGGTCACCTGTGGTACCTGTGGTGGTGGTACCTGTGGTGATGGTACCTGTGGTGGTGGTGATGGTACCTGTGGTGGTACCTGTGGTGGTGGTACCTGTGGTGATGGTACCTGTGGCACCTGTGGTCACCTGTGGTAGCTGTGGTGGTGGTGGTACCTGTGGTGATGGTACCTGTGGTGATGGTACCTGTGGTGGTGGTGATGGTACCTGTGGTACCTGTGGTGGTACCTGTGGTGATGGTACCTGTGGTACCTGTGGTGATGGTACCTGTGGTACCTGTGGTGATGGTACCTGTGGTACCTGTGGTGGTGGTACCTGTGGTGATGGTACCTGTGGTACCTGTGGTGGTACCTGTGGTGATGGTACCTGTGGTACCTGTGGTACCTGTGGTGGTACCTGTGGTGATGGTACCTGTGGTGGTGGTACCTGTGGTGGTGGTGGTACCTGTGGTACCTGTGGTGATGGCACCTGTGGTGATGGTACCTGTGGTGATGGTGATGGTACCTGTGGGGTACCTGTGGTGGTACCTGTGGTACCTGTGGTGATGGTACCTGTGGTACCTGTGGTGGTGGTACCTGTGGTGATGGTACCTGTGGTACCTGTGGTGATGGTACCTGTGGTACCTGTGGTGGTGGTACCTGTGGTACCTGTGATGGTACCTGTGGTGGTGGTACCTGTGGTGATGGTACCTGTGGTACTGTGCACTCCAGGACAACACCTATCCAGAGATCCTCCGCTCCAACCTGGGCACAGTGGTGTTACAGCTGAAGAAGTTGGGGATCGATGATCTGGTCCACTTCGACTTCATGGATCCGCCAGGTAGCAACGTGCACCTAGCCTGGCACCTCGCCTAGTACCTTGCCTGGTACCTAGCCTGGTACCTAGCCTGGTACCTAGCCTGGTACCTAGTCTGGTACCTAGCCTGGTACCTAGTCTGGTACCTAGCCTGGTAAGTAGCCTGGTACCTAGCCTGGCACCTAGCCTGGTACCTAGCCTGGTACCTCGCCTGGTACCTAGCCTGGTACCTAGCCTGGTACCTAGCCTGGTACCTAGCCTGGCACCTAGCCTGGTACCTAGCCTGGTACCTCGCCTGGTACCTAGCCTGGTACCTAGCCTGGTACCTAGCCTGGTACCTAGCCTGGTACCTCATCTGGTACCTAGCCTGGTACCTAGCCTGGTACCTCGCCTGGTACCTCGTCTGGTACCTAGCCTGGTACCTAGCCTGGTACCTAGCCTGGTAAGTAGCCTGGTCTCCAGCCTGGTACCTAGCCTGGTACCTAGCCTGGTACCTAGCCTGGTACCTCGCCTGGTACCTCGCCTGGTCTCCAGCCTGGTACCTAGCCTGGTACCTCGCCTGGTACCTAGTCTGGTACCTAGCCTGGTAAGTAGCCTGGTACCTCGCCTGGTACCTAGCCTGGTACCTAGCCTGGTACCTAGCCTGGTACCTTGCCTGGTACCTAGCCTGGTACCTAGCCTGGTACCTAGTCTGGTACCTAGCCTGGTACCTAGCCTGGTACCTAGCCTGGTAAGTAGCCTGGTACCTAGCCTGGTACCTAGCCTGGTACCTCGCCTGGTACCTAGCCTGGTACCTAGCCTGGTACCTAGCCTGGTAGCTAGCCTGGTACCTAGCTTGGTACCTCACCTGGTACCTAGCCTGGTACCTAGCCTGGTACCTAGCCTGGTACCTCGTCTGGTACCTAGCCTGGTACCTAGCCTGGTACCTCGCCTGGTACCTAGCCTGGTAAGTAGCCTGGTACCTAGCCTGGTACCTAGCCTGGTACCTAGCCTGGTACCTAGCCTGGTACCTAACCTGGTACCTCGCCTGGTACCTAGCCTGGTACCTAGCCTGGTACCTCGCCTGGTAAGTAGCCTGGTACCTAGCCTGGTACCTAGCCTGGTACCTAGCCTGGTAAGTAGCCTGGTACCTAGCCTGGTACCTCGCCTGGTACCTAGCCTGGTAAGTAGCCTGGTACCTAGCCTGGTACCTCGCCTGGTACCTAGCCTGGTACCTAGCCTGGTAAGTAGCCTGGTACCTAGCCTGGTACCTAGCCTGGTACCTAGCCTGGTACCTCGTCTGGTACCTCGCCTGGTACCTAGCCTGGTACCTAGCCTGGTAAGTAGCCTGGTACCTAGCCTGGTACCTAGTCTGGTACCTAGCCTGGTACCTAGCCTGGTACCTAGCCTGGTACCTAGCCTGGTACCTAGCCTGGTACCTAGCCTGGTACCTCGCCTGGTACCTAGCCTGATACCTAGCCTGGTAAGTAGCCTGGTACCTAGCCTGGTACCTAGCCTGGTACCTAGCCTGGTACCTAGCCTGGTAAGTAGCCTGGTACCTAGCCTGGTACCTAGCCTGGTAAGTAGCCTGGTACCTAGCCTGGTACCTAGCCTGGTACCTAGCCTGGTACCTAGTCTGGTACCTCGCCTGGTACCTCGCCTGGTACCTAGCCTGGTACCTAGCCTGGTACCTAGCCTGGCACCTAGCGTGTGTGTGTGTCTGTGTGTGTGTCTGTGTGAGTCTCTGTCTCTCTGTGTGTGTCTCTGTGTGTCTCTGTGTGTGTCTCTGTGTGTCTCTGTGTGTATCTCTGTGTGTGTCTCTGTGTGTGTCTCTGTGTGAGTCTCTGTGTCTCTCTGTGTGTCTCTCTGCGTGTCTCTGCGCGTGTCTGTGTGTGTGTCTCTGTGCGTGTCTCTGTGTGTGTCTCTGTGTGTGTCTCTAAGTGTCTCTGCGTGTGTCTCTGTGTGTGTGTCTGTGTGTCTGTGTCTCTCTCTGCGTGTGTCTCTAAGTGTCTCTGCGTGTGTCTCTCTGTGTGTGTGTCTCTGTGTCTCTCTGTGTCTCTCTCTGTGTGTGTCTCTAAGTGTCTCTGCGTGTGTCTCTGTGTGTCTCTGTGTGTGTCTCTGTGTGTCTGTGTGTCTTTACGTGTGTCTCTGTGTGTCTCTATGTCTCTCTGTGTGTCTCTGTGTGTGTGTCTGTGTGTCTGTCTCTCTCTGCGTGTGTCTCTAAGTGTCTCTGCGTGTGTCTCTGCGTGTGTCTCTGTGTCTCTCTGTGTCTCTCTCTGTGTGTGTCTCTACGTGTCTCTCTGCGTGTGTGTCTCTAAGTGTCTCTAAGTGTCTCTACGTGTCTCTCTGTGTCTCTCTGTGTCTCTCTGCGTGTGTCTCTGCGTGTGTCTCTCTGCGTGTCTCTGCGTGTGTCTCTGTGTGTGTGTCTCTAAGTGTCTCTATGTGTCTCTGTGTCTCTCTGTGTCTCTACGTGTCTCTCTGCGTGTGTTTCTCTGCGTGTGTCTCTGTCTGTGTGTCTCTGTGTCTCTCTGTGTCTCTCTGTGTGTGTCTCTCTGCGTGTGTGTATCTCTGTGTGTGTGTCTCTCTGTGTCTCTCTCTCTCCGTGTGTGTCTCTAAGTGTCTCTACGTGTCTCTGCGTGTCTCTCTGCGTGTGTCTCTCTGCGTGTCTCTACGTGTCTCTGCGTGTGTCTCTGTCTGTGTCTCTCTGCGTGTCTCTGCGTGTGTCTCTGTGTGTGTCTCTGTGTGTGTGTCTCTCTGTGTCTCTCTCTGTGTGTGTCTCTAAGTGTCTCTCTGTGTCTCTCTGTGTCTCTCTGCGTGTGTCTCTCTACGTGTCTCTACGTGTCTCTACGTGTCTCTCTGCGTGTGTCTCTCTACGTGTCTCTGCGTGTGTCTCTGTGTGTGTGTCTCTAAGTGTCTCTACGTGTCTCTGTGTCTCTCTGCGTGTCTCTTTGCGTGTGTCTCTAAGTGTCTCTACGTGTCTCTGTGTCTCTCTGCGTGTGTCTCTCTGCGTGTCTCTCTGCGTGTGTCTCTGTGTGTGTGTCTCTAAGTGTCTCTACGTGTCTCTGTGTCTCTCTGTGTCTCTCTCTCTGTGTGTGTCTCTACGTGTCTCTGCGTGTCTCTCTGCGTGTGTGTCTCTCTGCGTGTGTGTCTCTCTGCGTGTGTCTCTAAGTGTCTCTGCGCGTGTCTCTGTGTGTGTGTGTCTCTGTGTCTCTCTGTGTCTCTCTCTGCGTGTGTCTCTGTCTGTGTGTCTCTGTGTCTCTCTGTGTCTCTCTGTGTGTGTCTCTCTGCGTGTGTGTATCTCTGTGTGTGTGTCTCTCTGTGTCTCTCTCTCTCCGTGTGTGTCTCTAAGTGTCTCTACGTGTCTCTGCGTGTCTCTCTCCGTGTGTGTCTCTAAGTGTCTCTACGTGTCTCTGCGTGTGTCTCTGTCTGTGTCTCTCTGCGTGTCTCTGCGTGTGTCTCTGTCTGTGTCTCTCTGCGTGTCTCTGCGTGTGTCTCTGTGTGTGTGTCTCTCTGTGTCTCTCTCTGTGTGTGTCTCTAAGTGTCTCTGCGTGTGTCTCTGTCTGTGTCTCTCTGCGTGTCTCTGCGTGTGTCTCTGTGTGTGTCTCTGTGTGTGTGTCTCTCTGTGTCTCTCTCTGTGTGTGTCTCTAAGTGTCTCTACGTGTCTCTCTGTGTCTCTCTGCGTGTGTCTCTCTACATGTCTCTACGTGTCTCTACGTGTCTCTCTGCGTGTGTCTCTCTACGTGTCTCTGCGTGTGTCTCTGTGTGTGTGTCTCTAAGTGTCTCTACGTGTCTCTGTGTCTCTCTGCGTGTCTCTTTGCGTGTGTCTCTAAGTGTCTCTACGTGTCTCTGTGTCTCTCTGCGTGTGTCTCTCTGCGTGTCTCTCTGCGTGTGTCTCTGTGTGTGTGTGTCTAAGTGTCTCTACGTGTCTCTGTGTCTCTCTGTGTCTCTCTCTCTGTGTGTGTCTCTACGTGTCTCTGCGTGTCTCTCTGCGTGTGTGTCTCTCTGCGTGTGTGTCTCTCTGCGTGTGTCTCTAAGTGTCTCTGCGCGTGTCTCTGTGTGTGTGTGTCTCTGTGTCTCTCTGTGTCTCTCTCTGCGTGTGTCTCTCTACCTGTCTCTGCGTGTGTCTCTGTGTGTGTGTGTCTCTACGTGTCTCTGTGTCTCTCTGTGTCTCTCTGTGTCTCTCTGTGTCTCTCTGCGTGTGTCTCTGTGTGTGTCTCTCTGTGTCTCTCTCTCTCCGTGTGTGTCTCTAAGTGTCTCTACGTGTCTCTGCGTGTCTCTCTGCGTGTGTGTCTCTCTGCGTGTCTCTGCGTGTGTCTCTGTGTGTGTGTCTCTAAGTGTCTCTACGTGTCTCTGTGTCTCTCTGTGTCTCTCTCTCTGCGTGTGTCTCTACGTGTCTCTCTGTGTCTCTCTGCATGTGTGTCTCTCTGTGTCTCTGCGTGTCTCTCTGCGTGTGTCTCTCTACGTGTCTCTCTACGTGTCTCTGTGTGTGTGTCTCTAAGTGTCTCTACGTGTCTCTGTGTCTCTCTGTGTCTCTCTCTCTGCGTGTGTCTCTACGTGTCTATCTGTGTCTCTCTGCATGTGCGTGTCTCTGTGTCTCTACGTGTCTCTCTGTGTCTCTCTGCGTGTGTCTCTCTGCGTGTTTCTGTGTGTGTCTCTCTGTGTCTCTCTGCGTGTGTCTCTGTGTGTGTGTCTCTATGTGTCTCTCTCCGTGTGTGTCTCTAAGTGTCTCTGCGTGTCTCTCTGTGTCTCTCTGCGTGTGTCTCTCTGCGTGTCTCTGCGTGTGTCTCTGTGTGTGTGTCTCTCTGTGTCTCTCTCCGTGTGTGTCTCTAAGTGTCTCTGCGTGTCTCTCTGTGTCTCTCTGCGTGTGTGTCTCTCTGTGTCTCTCTGCGTGTGTCTCTCTGCGTGTCTCTGCGTGTGTCTCTCTGCGTGTCTCTCTGCGTGTGTGTCTCTCTGCGTGTGTCTCTCTGCGTGTGTCTCTGCGTGTGTGTCTCTAAGTGTCTCTACGTGTCTCTGTGTCTCTCTGTCTCTCTCTGTGTCTCTCTGCGTGTGTCTCTCTGCGTGTCTCTCTGCGTGTGTCTCCCTGCGTGTGTCTCTGCGTGTGTGTCTCTAAGTGTCTCTACGTGTCTCTGTGTCTCTCTGTGTCTCTCTGTGTCTCTCTGCGTGTGTCTCTCTGCGTGTCTCTCTGCGTGTGTGTCTCTCTGCGTGTGTCTCTCTGCGTGTCTCTCTGCGTGTGTGTGTCTTGTCTGCGTAGCCCCCGAGACGCTGATGCGAGCCCTTGAGCTGCTGAACTACCTGGGGGCCCTCAATGACGATGGGGACCTCACGGAGCTTGGTGCCACCATGGCAGAGTTCCCGCTCGATCCTCAGCTCGCCAAGATGCTCATTAACTCGTGTGATTGCTACTGCTCCAACGAGATCCTCTCCATCACCGCCATGCTGTCAGGTGAGTGGTGAGTGGTGGGGTCACTCAGTCACTCACTCAGTCAGTCACTCAGTCACTCAGTCAGTCAGTCACTAAGTCAGTCAGTCAGTCACTCAGTCAGTCAGTCAGTCACTCAGTCAGTCACTCAGTCAGTCATTAACTCGTGTGACTGCTACTGCTCCAACGAGATCCTCTCCATCACCGCCATGCTGTCAGGTGAGTGGTGGGTGGTGGGTGGTGAGCTCAGTCAGTCACTCACTCAGTCAGTCAGTCACTCAGTCAGTCAGTCAGTCAGTCACTCACTCAGTCACTCAGTCAGTCATTAACTCATTCACTCACTCACTCAGTCACTCACTCAGTCACCCACTCAGTCACTCAGTCACTCACTCACTCAGTCACTCAGTCAGTCAGTCACTCAGTCACTCAGTCAGTCACTCAGCCACTGACTCACTCAGTCACCCACTCAAGTCACTCAGTCAATCACTCAGTCACTCACTCAGTCACTCACTCACTCAGTCACTCAGTCACTCACTCAGTCAGTCACTCAGTCAGTCACTCAGTCAGTCACTCACTCACTCACTCATTCACTCACTCAGTCAGTCACTCAGTCAATCACTCACTCACCCACTCAGTCAGTCAGTCAGTCACTCAGTCACTCAGTCAATCACTCAGTCACTCAGCCACTCAGTCACTCAGTCACTCAGTCACTCACTCAGTCACTCAGTCAGTCACTCAGTCAGTCATTAACTCGTGTGACTGCTACTGCTCCAACGAGATCCTCTCCATCACCGCCATGCTGTCAGGTGAGTGGTGAGTGGTGGGGTCACTCAGTCACTCACTCAGTCACTCACTCACTCAGTCACTCAGTCACTCACTCAGTCAGTCAGTCACTCAGTCACTCAGTCAGTCACTCAGTCACTCACCCACTCAGTCAGTCAGTCATTAACTCATTCACTCACTCACTCAGTCACTCACTCAGTCACCCACTCAGTCACTCAGTCACTCAGTCACTCACTCAGTCAGTCAGTCACTCAGTCACTCAGTCACTCACTCAGTCACTCACTCAGTCACCCACTCAGTCAGTCACTCAGTCAGTCACTCACTCAGTCAGTCAGTCACTCAGTCACTCAGTCAGTCACTCAGTCAGTCATTAACTCGTGTGACTGCTACTGCTCCAACGAGATCCTCTCCATCACCGCCATGCTGTCAGGTGAGTGGTGGGTGGTGGGTGGTGAGCTCAGTCAGTCACTCAGTCACTCAGTCAGTCACTCAGTCAGTCACTCAGTCACTCACTCACTCATTCACTCACTCAGTCATTCACTCACTCACTCACTCACCCACTCAGTCAGTCAGTCAGTCAGTCACTCAGTCAATCAGTCAGTCACCCACTCAGTCAGTCACTCAGTCAGTCAGTCACTCAGTCAGTCACTCAGTCACTCAGTCAGTCACTCAGTCAGTCATTAACTCGTGTGACTGCTACTGCTCCAACGAGATCCTCTCCATCACTGCCATGCTGTCAGGTGAGTGGTGGGCTCAGTCAGTCACTCAGTCAGTCACTCAGTCAGTCAGTCAGTCACTCAGTCAGTCACTCAGTCAGTCAGTCAGTCACTCAGTCAGTCACTCAGTCAGTCTCTCAGTCAGTCACTCACTCACTCATTCACTCACTCAGTCAGTCACTCAGTCAATCACTCACTCACCCACTCAGTCAGTCAGTCAGTCACTCAGTCAGTCACTCAGTCAGTCACTCACTCATTCACTCACTCAGTCACTCAGTCAATCACTCACTCACCCACTCAGTCACTCAGTCAGTCACTCAGTCACTCAGTCAGTCACTCAGTCAGTCACTCACTCACTCATTCACTCACTCAGTCACTCAGTCAATCACTCACTCAGTCACTCAGTCAGTCAGTCAGTCACTCAGTCAGTCACTCAGTCAGTCACTCACTCACTCATTCACTCACTCAGTCACTCAGTCACTCAGTCAGTCACTCAGTCAGTCACTCACTCACTCATTCACTCACTCAGTCACTCAGTCAATCACTCACTCAGTCACTCAGTCAGTCAGTCAGTCACTCAGTCAGTCACTCAGTCAGTCATTAACTCGTGTGACTGCTACTGCTCCAACGAGATCCTCTCCATCACTGCCATGCTGTCAGGTGAGTGGTGGGCTCAGTCAGTCACTCAGTCAGTCAGTCAGTCACTCAGTCAGTCACTCAGTCAGTCTCTCAGTCAGTCACTCACTCACTCATTCACTCACTCAGTCAGTCACTCAGTCAATCACTCACTCACCCACTCAGTCAGTCAGTCAGTCACTCAGTCAGTCACTCAGTCAGTCACTCAGTCAGTCAGTCACTCAGTCACTCATTCACTCACTCACTCAGTCATTCACTCAGTCAATCACTCAGTCAATCACTCAGTCACTCAGCCACTCAGTCACTCACTCACTCAGTCACTCAGTCAGTCACTCAGTCACTCAGTCAGTCAGTCACTCAGTCAGTCACTCAGTCAGTCACTCAGTCACCACCAAGAACTACATCCGTACAGTCACAGACGTCAATCCAGACTGGTGAGTTAGCCGGCTACTCACCACCTCGCTCACCCACTCAGCCACTGACTCACTCAGTCACTCACTCAGTCACCCACTCAGTCAGCCATTCAGTCAGTCAGCCACTCAGTCAGTCAGTCACTCAGTCAGTCACTCAGTCAGTCACTCACTCACCCACTTGCTCACCCACTCACTCAATCATTCACTCACCCATCCACCCACTCGCCCAGTCACTCACCCATTTACTCACCACCTCACTCACCCACTCACTCACCCATCCACCCACTCACCCAGTCACTCACCCACTTACTCACCACCTCACTCACCCACTCACCCACCCATCCACTCACCCACTCACCCACCCATCCACGCACCCACCTGCTCACCCACTCGCTCACCACTCACCCACCCACTCACTCACTCATCCACTCACCCACTCACCCACTCACTCACTCAATCACCCACTCACCCACCCATCCACGCACCCACCCGCTCACCCACCCGCTCACCCACTCGCTCACCACTCACCCACCCACTCACCACTCGCTCACCAGTGAGGGAATGACGCTCACCACTCCACCACCCCCGCCCCACGTCACCACCTGGTAAGTAGTCGTGGGTGAGTGAGTGGGTGGGTGGGTGGGTGAGTGGGTGAGTGAGTGGGTGAGTGAGTGGGTGGGTGGGTGAGTGGGTGAGTGAGTGGGTGAGTGAGTGGGTGAGTGAGTGGGTGAGTGAGTGAGTGGGTGAGTGAGTGGGTGAGTGAGTGGGTGAGTGAGTGGGTGGGTGGGTGAGTGGGTGAGTGAGTGGGTGAGTGAGTGGGTGAGTGAGTGGGTGAGTGAGTGGGTGAGTGAGTGAGTGGGTGAGTGGGTGAGTGGGTGAGTGGGTGGGTGAGTGAGTGAGTGAGTGGGTGAGTGAGTGGGTGAGTGAGTGGGTGAGTGGGTGAGTGGGTGAGTGGGTGGGTGAGTGAGTGAGTGAGTGGGTGAGTGGGTGAGTGAGTGGGTGAGTGGGTGAGTGAGCGTGTGGGTGAGCGTGTGAGCGTGTGTGTGGGTGAGCGTGGGGGTGAACGTGTGTGTGGGTGAGCGGTGTGGGTGAGCGTGTGGGTGAGTGAGCGTGTGGTTGAGTGAGCGTGGTGGTGAGCGTGTGGGTGAGTTTGCGTGGTGGGTGAGCGGTGTGGGTGAGCGTGGTGGTGAGCGTGTGGTTGAGTGAGCGTGGTGGTGAGCGTGTGGGTGAGTGTGTGGGTGAGTGAGCGTGGTGGTGAGCGTGGTGGTGAGCGAGCGTGTGGGTGAGCGGTGCGGGTGAGCGTGGTGGTGAGCGTGGTGGTGAGCGTGGTGGTGAGCGGTGTGGTTGAGTGAGCGTGGTGGTGAGCGTGTGGGTGAGCGTGGTGGTGAGCGTGTGGGTGAGCGTGTGGTTGAGTGAGCGTGTGGTTGAGTGAGCGGTGCGGGTGAGCGGTGTGGGTGAGCGTGTGAGTGAGCGTGGTGGTGAGCGTGGTGGTGAGCGTGTGGGTGAGCGTGTGGGTGAGTGACCGTGTGGGTGAGTGTGTGGGTGAGCGTGTGGGTGAGCGGTGCGGGTGAGCGTGTGGGTGAGTGTGTGGGTGAGCGTGTGGGTGTGTGGGTGAGCGTGGTGGTGAGCGTGGTGGTGAGTGTGTGTGTGTGTGTGAGCGGTGTGTGTGTGAGCGTGGGGGTGTGTGTGTGAGTGAGTGTGTGGTGAGTGGGTGAGCGGTGTGTGGGTGAGCGTGTGAGTGGGTGAGCGTGGTGGTGAGCGTGGTGGTGAGTGAGCGTGGTGGTGAGTGAGCGTGGTGGTGAGCGTGGTGGTGAGCGGTGTGTGGTTGGGTGAGCGTGGTGGTGAGTGAGCGTGGTGGTGAGTGAGTGGGTGAGCGTGTGGGTGAGCGGTGAGTGAGTGGGTGAGCGTGTGGGTGAGCGGTGAGTGGTTGAGTGAGCGTGTGGGTGAGTGAGCGTGTGTGTGTGTGTGGGTGAGCGGTGTGTGGTTGAGTGAGCGTGGTGGTGAGCGGTGTGGGTGAGTGAGTGAGCGTGTGGTTGAGTGAGCGTGTGGGTGAGTGAGCGTGTGTGTGTGTGTGGGTGAGCGGTGTGTGGTTGAGTGAGTGTTGTGGTGAGCGTGGTGGTGAGTGGTGTGGGTGAGCGTGGTGGTGGGTGAGCGGTGTGGGTGAGTGTGTGGGTGAGCGTGTGGTTGAGTGAGTGTGTGGTTGAGTGAGCGTGTGAGTGGGTGAGCGGTGTGTGGTTGAGTGAGCGTGGTGGTGAGTGAGCGTGGTGGTGAGCGTGGTGGTGAGTGAGCGTGGTGGTGAGCGGTGTGTGGTTGAGTGAGCGTGGTGGTGAGCGTGGTGGTGAGCGGTGTGTGGTTGGGTGAGCGTGGTGGTGAGCGTATGGTTGAGTGAGTGAGTGAGTGGGCGAGCGAGTGTGGTGGTGAGTGAGCGTGGTGGTGAGCGGTGTGTGGGTGAGCGTGGTGGTGAGTGTGTGTGTGTGTGAGCGGTGTGTGTGTGAGCGTGGGGGGTGTGTGTGTGAGTGAGTGTGTGGGTGAGTGACCGTGTGGGTGAGCGGTGTGTGGGTGAGCGTGGTGGTGAGCGGTGTGTGGTTGAGTGAGTGGGTGGTTGAGTGAGCGTGGTGGTGAGTGAGTGGGTGAGTGAGTGTGTGAGCGTGGTGGTGAGCGTGTTGGTGAGCGTGTTGGTGAGCGTGGTGGTGAGCGAGCGTGGTGGTGAGCGAGCGTGGTGGTGAGCGTGGTGGTGAGTGAGCGTGTGTGTGTGTGTGTGTGAGCGTGGGGGTGTGTGTGTGTGAGTGAGTGTGTGGGTGAGTGAGCGTGTTGGTGAGCGTGGTGGGGAGTGAGCGGTGCGGGTGAGCGTGTGGGTGAGCGTGGTGGTGAGTGAGCGTGGTGGTGAGCGTGTGAGCGGTGTGTGGTTGGGTGAGCGTGTTGGTGAGCGTGGTGGTGAGTGAGCGGTGCGGGTGAGCGTGTGGGTGAGCGTGGTGGTGAGTGAGCGTGGTGGTGAGCGTGTGAGCGGTGTGTGGTTGGGTGAGCGTGTTGGTGAGCGTGGTGGTGAGTGAGTGTGGTGGTGAGCGGTGTGTGGTTGAGTGAGCGTGTGGTTGAGTGAGCGAGTGTGTGGGTGAGCGTGTGGTTGAGTGAGTGACCGTGTGGGTGAGCGGTGTGTGGGTGAGCGTGTGGGTGAGCGGTGCGGGTGAGCGTGTGGGTGAGTGTGTGGGTGAGCGTGTGGGTGTGTGGGTGAGCGTGGTGGTGAGCGTGGTGGTGAGTGTGTGTGTGTGTGTGAGCGGTGTGTGTGTGAGCGTGGGGGTGTGTGTGTGAGTGAGTGTGTGGTGAGTGGGTGAGCGGTGTGTGGGTGAGCGTGTGAGTGGGTGAGCGTGGTGGTGAGCGTGGTGGTGAGTGAGCGTGGTGGTGAGTGAGCGTGGTGGTGAGCGTGGTGGTGAGCGGTGTGTGGTTGGGTGAGCGTGGTGGTGAGTGAGCGTGGTGGTGAGTGAGTGGGTGAGCGTGTGGGTGAGCGGTGAGTGAGTGGGTGAGCGTGTGGGTGAGCGGTGAGTGGTTGAGTGAGCGTGTGGGTGAGTGAGCGTGTGTGTGTGTGTGGGTGAGCGGTGTGTGGTTGAGTGAGCGTGGTGGTGAGCGGTGTGGGTGAGTGAGTGAGCGTGTGGTTGAGTGAGCGTGTGGGTGAGTGAGCGTGTGTGTGTGTGTGGGTGAGCGGTGTGTGGTTGAGTGAGTGTTGTGGTGAGCGTGGTGGTGAGTGGTGTGGGTGAGCGTGGTGGTGGGTGAGCGGTGTGGGTGAGTGTGTGGGTGAGCGTGTGGTTGAGTGAGTGTGTGGTTGAGTGAGCGTGTGAGTGGGTGAGCGGTGTGTGGTTGAGTGAGCGTGGTGGTGAGTGAGCGTGGTGGTGAGCGTGGTGGTGAGTGAGCGTGGTGGTGAGCGGTGTGTGGTTGAGTGAGCGTGGTGGTGAGCGTGGTGGTGAGCGGTGTGTGGTTGGGTGAGCGTGGTGGTGAGCGTATGGTTGAGTGAGTGAGTGAGTGGGCGAGCGAGTGTGGTGGTGAGTGAGCGTGGTGGTGAGCGGTGTGTGGGTGAGCGTGGTGGTGAGTGTGTGTGTGTGTGAGCGGTGTGTGTGTGAGCGTGGGGGGTGTGTGTGTGAGTGAGTGTGTGGGTGAGTGACCGTGTGGGTGAGCGGTGTGTGGGTGAGCGTGGTGGTGAGCGGTGTGTGGTTGAGTGAGTGGGTGGTTGAGTGAGCGTGGTGGTGAGTGAGTGGGTGAGTGAGTGTGTGAGCGTGGTGGTGAGCGTGTTGGTGAGCGTGTTGGTGAGCGTGGTGGTGAGCGAGCGTGGTGGTGAGCGAGCGTGGTGGTGAGCGTGGTGGTGAGTGAGCGTGTGTGTGTGTGTGTGTGAGCGTGGGGGTGTGTGTGTGTGAGTGAGTGTGTGGGTGAGTGAGCGTGTTGGTGAGCGTGGTGGGGAGTGAGCGGTGCGGGTGAGCGTGTGGGTGAGCGTGGTGGTGAGTGAGCGTGGTGGTGAGCGTGTGAGCGGTGTGTGGTTGGGTGAGCGTGTTGGTGAGCGTGGTGGTGAGTGAGCGGTGCGGGTGAGCGTGTGGGTGAGCGTGGTGGTGAGTGAGCGTGGTGGTGAGCGTGTGAGCGGTGTGTGGTTGGGTGAGCGTGTTGGTGAGCGTGGTGGTGAGTGAGTGTGGTGGTGAGCGGTGTGTGGTTGAGTGAGCGTGTGGTTGAGTGAGCGAGTGTGTGGGTGAGCGTGTGGTTGAGTGAGTGACCGTGTGGGTGAGCGGTGTGTGGGTGAGCGTAGTGAGCGAGCGTGGTGGTGAGCGAGCGTGGTGGTGAGCGAGCGTGGTGGTGAGTGAGTGTGGTGGTGAGCGGTGTGTGGTTGAGTGAGGGTGTGGTTGAGTGAGCGAGTGTGTGGGTGAGCGTGTGGTTGAGTGAGTGAGTGTGTGGGTGAGCGGTGTGTGGGTGAGTGAGCGTGGTGGTGAGCGAGCGTGGTGGTGAGCGTGGTGGTGAGTGAGTGTGGTGGTGAGCGGTGTGTGGCTGAGTGAGTGAGTGTGGTGGTGAGCGGTGTGTGGTTGAGTGAGGGTGTGGTTGAGTGAGCGAGTGTGTGGGTGAGCGTGTGGTTGAGTGAGTGACCGTGTGGGTGAGCGGTGTGTGGGTGAGTGTGTGGGTGAGCGTGGTGGTGAGCGAGCGTGGTGGTGAGCGAGCGTGGTGGTGAGCGAGCGGTGTGTGAGTGAGTGTGTGGGTGAGTGAGCGGTGTGTGAGTGAGTGACCGTGTGGGTGAGTGGTGTGTGGGTGAGTGTGTGGGTGAGTGTGTGGGTGAGTGAGCGGTGTGTGAGTGAGTGACCGTGTGGGTGAGTGGTGTGTGGGTGAGTGTGTGAGTGAGTGTGTGGGTGAGTGAGCGGTGTGTGAGTGAGTGACCGTGTGGGTGAGCGGTGTGTGGGTGAGTGTGTGAGTGAGTGAGCGGTGTGTGAGTGAGTGACCGTGTGGGTGAGCGGTGTGTGGGTGAGTGTGTTGGTGAGCGTGGTGGTGAGCGAGCGTGGTGAGCGAGCGTGGTGGTGAGCGAGCGTGGTGGTGAGCGTATGGCCGACCCTCTGTAGTCCCGCAGTGCTTTGTGAGACCGACGGAAGCCAAGAAGGCCGCCGATGAATCCAAGATGCGTTTTGCTCACATTGATGGTGACCACCTCACCCTGCTGAACGTCTACCACGCCTTCAAGCAGAGTGAGACACTCAGTGTACACACTCAGTGTACACACACACACAGTGTACACACACACAGTGTACACACAGTGTACACACACACAGTGTACACACAGTGTACACACACACAGTGTACACACACACACAGTGTACACACACACAGTGTACACACACACAATCCAAGATGCGTTTTGCTCACATTGATGGTGACCACCTCACCCTGCTGAACGTCTACCATGCCTTCAAGCAGAGTGAGACACTCACACACACACAGTACACACAGTGTACACACAGTGTACACACACACACAGTGTACACACACACAGTGTACACACACACAGTGTACACACACACACAGTGTACACACACAGTCCAAGATGCGTTTTGCTCACATTGATGGTGACCACCTCACCCTGCTGAACGTCTACCACGCCTTCAAGCAGAGTGAGACACTCACACACACACAGTGTACACACACACAGTGTACACACACACACAGTACACACACACAGTGTACACACACACACACAGTGTACACACACACACAGTGTACACACACACACAGTGTACACACACACACACACAGTGTACACACACACACAGTGTACACACACACACAGTACACACACACAGTGTACACACACACACAGTGTACACACACACACAGTGTACACACACACACAGTGTACACACACACACACACAGTGTACACACACAGTGTACACACACACACAGTGTACACACACACACAGTGTACACACACACACAGTGTACACACACACACAGTGTACATACACAGTGTACACACACACACAGTGTACACACACACACAGTGTACACACACAGTGTACACACACACAGTGTACACACCCACACAGTGTACACACACAGTGTACACACACACAGTGTACACACCCACACAGTGTACACACACACAGTGTACACACACACACAGTGTACACACACACAGTGTACACACACACAGTGTACACACACACAGTGTACACACACACACAGTGTACACACACACACAGTGTACACACACACAGTGTACACACACACACAGTGTACACACACACAGTACACACACACACAGTGTACACACACACAGTACACACACACAGTGTACACACACAGTGTACACACACACAGTACACACACACACAGTGTACACACACACAGTGTACACACACACACAGTGTACACACACACAGTACACACACACACAGTGTACACACACACACAGTGTACACACACACAGTGTACACACACACAGTGTACACACACACACAGTGTACACACACACACAGTGTACACACACACAGTACACACACACACAGTACACACACACAGTTTACACACACACACAGTGTACACACACACACAGTACACACACACACAGTGTACACACACACAGTGTACACACACACACAGTGTACACACACACAGTACACACACACAGTGTACACACACACACAGTGTACACACACACAGTGTACACACACACACAGTGTACACACACACAGTACACACACACACAGTGTACACACACACAGTACACACAAACAGTGTACACACACACACAGTGTACACACACACAGTACACACACACACAGTGTACACACACACACAGTGTACACACACACACAGTGTACACACACACACAGTGTACACACACACAGTGTACACATACACACACAGTGTCACAGTGTACACATACACACAGTGTACACTGACACACACACACACACATAGACACACACACATAGACACACACACACAGTGTACACACACACACACAGTGTACACATACACACAGTGTACACAGACACACACACACATAGACACACACAGTGTACACACACAGTGTACACACACACAGTGTACACACACAGTGTACACACACACACAGTGTACACACACACACAGTGTACACACACACAGTGTACACACACACAGTGTACACACACATAGTGTACACACACACAGTGTACACACACACAGTGTACACACACATAGTGTACACACACACAGTGTACACACACACACACAGTGTACACATACACACACAGTGTACACACACACACAGTGTACACACACACACAGTGTACACACACAGTGTACACACACACACAGTGTACACACACTCACACAGTGTTACACACACACACAGTGTACACACACACAGTGTACACACACAGTGTACACACACACACAGTGTACACACACTCACACAGTGTTACACACACACACAGTGTACACACACACAGTGTACACACACACAGTGTACACACACACAGTGTACACACACACAGTGTACACACACACAGTGTACACACACAGTGTACACACACACAGTGTACACACACACACACACAGTGTACACACACACACATAGACACACACACATAGACACACACACATAGACACACACACATAGACACACACACATAGACACACACACATAGACACACACGGGGGGTAGTGGTTATTGTGGTGAGCGTTGTTGTGGTGAGCTGTGCTGTACCTCATGGAATCTCTGTTCTGTCCCTCACCCTCAACCCCTCTGCCTCAATCCCTCACCCCTCCCTCACCCCACACTCACCCCACACTCACCCCACACTCACCCCTCACTCACCCCACACTCACCAACTCACCCACCCACTCACTCACCCACACACTCAACCACACACTCACCCACTCACTTAACCACTCACCCACTCACCCACACACTCACTCACACACCACACCACTCACCACACCCACTCACCCATTCACCACACCACACTCACTCACCCACTCACTCACCCACACACTCACCCACCCACTCACCCACCCACACACTCACCCACCACACTCACCCACCCACTCACCCACCCACTCACTCACCACACTCACCACACTCACCACACTCACCACCACCACTCACCACACCACTCACCCACTCACCCACCCACCCACCCCCCCACCACACCACTCACCACACTCACCACACTCACCACCACCACTCACCACACCACTCACCCACTCACCCACCCACCCACCCCCCCACCACACCACTCACCACACTCACCACACCCACCCACTCACCCACCCACTCACTCACCACACCACCACCCACCACACTCTCCACACTCACCCACTCACCCACTCACTCACACACCCACTCACCCACTCACTCACACACCCACTCACCCACTCACTCACCCACCCACTCACCACACTCACTCACCCACTCACCCACTCACTCACCACACTCACCACACTCACCACACCACTCACTCACCACACTCACCACACTCACCACACTCACCACACTCACCACTCACCACCCCAGACCACGACTCTAACCAGTGGTGTTATGACAATTTCGTCAACTACCGCTCGCTCATGTCAGCTGACAACGTCCGTCAGCAGCTGGGCCGCATCATGGATCGCTTTGCCCTCCCGCGGAGATCCACGGAGTTCACCAGCCGAGACTACTACAGCAACATTCGGCGGGCACTGGTGTCGGGATTCTTCATGCAGGTAGTGGTGGTACCAGCGGTAGTGGTGGTGGTACCAGCGGTGTGGTTCTAGAGGTAGTGGTTCTAGAGGTAGTGGTGGTACCAGCGGAGTTCACCAGCCGGGACTACTACAGCAACATTCGGCGGGCACTGGTGTCGGGATTCTTCATGCAGGTAGTGGTGGTACCAGCGGTAGTGGTGGTGGTACCAGCGGTAGTGGTGGTGGTACCAGCGGTGTGGTTCTAGAGGTAGTGGTGGTACCAGCGGTGGTGGTGGTGGTACCAGCGGTGGTGGTGGTGGTACCAGCGGTAGTGGTGGTGGTACCAGCGGTGGTGGTGGTGGTACCAGCGGTGTGGTTCTAGAGGTAGTGGTGGTACCAGCGGAGTTCACCAGCCGAGACTACTACAGCAACATTCGGCGGGCACTGGTGTCGGGATTCTTCATGCAGGTAGTGGTGGTACCAGCGGTAGTGGTGGTGGTACCAGCGGTAGTGGTGGTGGTGGTACCAGCGGTGTGGTTCTAGAGGTAGTGGTGGTACCAGCGGAGTTCACCAGCCGGGACTACTACAGCAACATTCGGCGGGCACTGGTGTCGGGATTCTTCATGCAGGTAGTGGTGGTACCAGCGGTGTGGTTCTAGAGGTAGTGGTGGTACCAGCGGTAGTGGTGGTGGTACCAGCGGTAGTGGTGGTGGTACCAGCGGTAGTGGTTCTAGAGGTAGTGGTGGTACCAGCGGAGTTCACCAGCCGAGACTACTACAGCAACATTCGGCGGGCACTGGTGTCGGGATTCTTCATGCAGGTACCTGGGACCACCCGTGTGGTTCTAGAGGTAGTGGTGCTAGCGGTGTGGTGCCAGCGGTAGTGATACCAGCGGTGTGGTGCTAGCGGTGTGGTTCTAGCGGTAGTGGTGGTACCAGCGGTGTGGTTCTAGAGGTAGTGGTGGTACCAGCGGTGTGGTTCTAGAGGTAGTGGTGGTACCAGCGGTGTGGTTCTAGAGGTAGTGGTGGTACCAGCGGTAGTGGTTCTAGAGGTAGTGGTGGTACCAGCGGTGTGGTTCTAGAGGTAGTGGTGGTACCAGCGGTGTGGTTCTAGAGGTAGTGGTGGTACCAGCGGTGTGGTACCAGCGGTGTGGTTCTAGAGGTAGTGGTGGTACCAGCGGTGTGGTTCTAGAGGTAGTGGTGGTACCAACGGTAGTGGTGGTGCTAGCGGTGTGGTACCAGCGGTAGTGATACCAGTGATGTGGTACTAGCGGTGTGGTACTAGCGGTGTGGTACCAGTGGTAGTGGTTCTAGAGGTAGTAGTGGTACCAGCGGTGTGGTTCTAGAGGTAGTGGTGGTACCAGTGGTAGTGGTTCTAGAGGTAGTGGTGGTACCAGCGGTGTGGTTCTAGAGGTAGTGGTGGTACCAGCGGTGTGGTTCTAGAGGTAGTGGTGGTACCAGCGGTGTGATACCAGCGGTGTGGTTCTAGAGGTAGTGGTGGTACCAGCGGTAGTGGTTCTAGAGGTAGTGGTGGTACCAGCGGTGTGGTTCTAGAGGTAGTGGTGGTACCAGCGGTGTGGTTCTAGAGGTAGTGGTGGTACCAGCGTTGTGGTGCTAGAGGTAGTGGTGGTACCAGCGGAGTTCACCAGCCGGGACTACTACAGCAACATTCGGCGGGCACTGGTGCCGGGATTCTTCATGCAGGTAGTGGTGGTACCAGCGGTAGTGGTGGTGGTACCAGCGGTGTGGTTCTAGAGGTAGTGGTGGTACCAGCGGTGTGATACCAGCGGTGTGGTACCAGCGGTGTGGTACCAGCGGTGTGGTTCTAGAGGTAGTGGTGGTGATAGCGGTGTGGTTCTAGAGGTAGTGGTGGTACCAGCGGTGTGGTTCTAGAGGTAGTGGTGGTACCAGCGGTGTGGTTCTAGAGGTAGTGGTGGTACCAGCGGTGTGGTACCAGCGGTGTGGTTCTAGAGGTAGTGGTGGTACCAGCGGTGTGGTGCTAGAGGTAGTGGTGGTACCAGCGGTGTGGTGCTAGAGGTAGTGGTGGTACCAGCGGTGTGGTTCTAGAGGTAGTGGTGGTACCAGCGGTGTGGTGCTAGAGGTAGTGGTGGTACCAGCGGTGTGGTACTAGAGGTAGTGGTGGTACCAGCGGTGTGGTTCTAGAGGTAGTGGTGGTACCAGCGGTGTGGTTCTAGAGGTAGTGGTGGTACCAGCGGAGTTCACCAGCCGAGACTACTACAGCAACATTCGGCGGGCACTGGTGTCGGGATTCTTTATGCAGGTAGTGGTGGTACCAGCGGTAGTGGTGGTGGTACCAGCGGTAGTGGTGGTGGTACCAGCGGTGTGGTTCTAGAGGTAGTGGTGGTACCAGCGGAGTTCACCAGCCGGGACTACTACAGCAACATTCGGCGGGCACTGGTGTCGGGATTCTTCATGCAGGTAGTGGTGGTACCAGCGGTAGTGGTGGTGGTACCAGCGGTGTGGTTCTAGAGGTAGTGGTGGTACCAGCGGTGTGATACCAGCGGTGTGGTACCAGCGGTGTGGTACCAGCGGTGTGGTTCTAGAGGTAGTGGTGGTGATAGCGGTGTGGTTCTAGAGGTAGTGGTGGTACCAGCGGTGTGGTTCTAGAGGTAGTGGTGGTACCAGCGGTGTGGTTCTAGAGGTAGTGGTGGTACCAGCGGTGTGGTACCAGCGGTGTGGTTCTAGAGGTAGTGGTGGTACCAGCGGTGTGGTGCTAGAGGTAGTGGTGGTACCAGCGGTGTGGTGCTAGAGGTAGTGGTGGTACCAGCGGTGTGGTTCTAGAGGTAGTGGTGGTACCAGCGTTGTGGTGCTAGAGGTAGTGGTGGTACCAGCGGTGTGGTACTAGAGGTAGTGGTGGTACCAGCGGTGTGGTTCTAGAGGTAGTGGTGGTACCAGCGGTGTGGTTCTAGAGGTAGTGGTGGTACCAGCGGAGTTCACCAGCCGAGACTACTACAGCAACATTCGGCGGGCACTGGTGTCGGGATTCTTCATGCAGGTAGTGGTGGTACCAGCGGTAGTGGTGGTGGTACCAGCGGTAGTGGTGGTGGTACCAGCGGTGTGGTTCTAGAGGTAGTGGTGGTACCAGCGGAGTTCACCAGCCGGGACTACTACAGCAACATTCGGCGGGCACTGGTGTCGGGATTCTTCATGCAGGTAGTGGTGGTACCAGCGGTAGTGGTGGTGGTACCAGCGGTGTGGTTCTAGAGGTAGTGGTGGTACCAGCGGTGTGATACCAGCGGTGTGGTACCAGCGGTGTGGTACCAGCGGGGTGGTTCTAGAGGTAGTGGTGGTGATAGCGGTGTGGTTCTAGAGGTAGTGGTGGTACCAGCGGTGTGGTTCTAGAGGTAGTGGTGGTACCAGCGGTGTGGTTCTAGAGGTAGTGGTGGTACCAGCGGTGTGGTACCAGCGGTGTGGTTCTAGAGGTAGTGGTGGTACCAGCGGTGTGGTGCTAGAGGTAGTGGTGGTACCAGCGGTGTGGTGCTAGAGGTAGTGGTGGTACCAGCGGTGTGGTTCTAGAGGTAGTGGTGGTACCAGCGGTGTGGTGCTAGAGGTAGTGGTGGTACCAGCGGTGTGGTGCTAGAGGTAGTGGTGGTGGTACCAGCGGTGTGGTTCTAGAGGTAGTGGTGGTACCAGCGGTGTGGTGCTAGAGGTAGTGGTGGTACCAGCGGTGTGGTGCTAGAGGTAGTGGTGGTACGAGCGGTGTGGTACTAGCACAGAGCGTGCTGGTGAGCTGTGTGTCTGTGGTGAGCGTGCTGGTGAGCGTGTTGGTGAGCGTGCTGGTGAGCTGTGTGTCTGTGGTGAGCGTGCTGGTGAGCGTGCTGGTGAGCGTGGTGGTGAGCGTGGTGGTGAGCGTGGTGGTGAGTGAGCGTGTTGGTGAGCGTGTTGGTGAGCGTGCTGGTGAGCTGTGTGTCTGTGGTGAGCGTGCTGGTGAGCGTGCTGGTGAGCGTGGTGGTGAGCGTGGTGGTGAGCGTGTCTGTGGTGAGCGTGTCTGTGGTGAGCGTGCTGGTGAGCGTGTGTGTGGTGAGCGTGCTGGTGAGCGTGTCTGTGGTGAGCGTGTCTGTGGTGAGCGTGCTGGTGAGCGTGTGTGTGGTGAGCGTGCTGGTGAGCGTGTCTGTGGTGAGCGTGTGTGTGGTGAGCGTGCTGGTGAGCGTGCTGGTGAGCGTGGTGGTGAGCGTGTCTGTGGTGAGCGTGTGTGTGGTGAGCGTGTTGGTGAGCGTGCTGGTGAGCGTGTTGGTGAGCGTGCTGGTGAGCTGCGCGTCTGCGCGTGCTGGTGAGCAGGTAGCTCACCTGGAGCGAACGGGACACTACCTGACAGTGAAGGATAACCAGGTGGTCCAGCTCCACCCGTCCACGTGCCTGGACCACAAGCCCGAGTGGGTCCTCTATAACGAGTTCGTGCTCACCACCAAGAACTACATCCGTACAGTCACAGACGTCAAGCCAGACTGGTGAGTTAGCCGGCTACTCACCACCTCGCTCACCCACTCACTCACTCGCTCACCCACTCAGTCACTCACCACCTCGCTCACCCACTCAGTCACTCACTCAGACACTCAGTCAGTCAGTCAGACACTCAGTCACTCATTCAGTCAGGCAGACAGTCAGTCACTCACCCACTCACTCACCCACTCAGTCATTCACTCAGTTACTCAGTCACTCACCACCAAGAACTACATCCGTACAGTCACAGACGTCAAGCCAGACTGGTGAGTTAGCCGGCTACTCACCACCTCGCTCACCCACTCACTCACTCACCACCTCGCTCACCCACTCACTCACTCAGACACTCATTCAGACACTCACTCAGACACTCACTCAGTCAGACACTCAGACACTCACTCACCTACTCAGTCATTCACTCAGACACTCACTCAGTCACTCACCACCAAGAACTACATCCGTACAGTCACAGACGTCAAGCCAGACTGGTGAGTTAGCCGGCTACTCACCACCTCGCTCACCCACTCACTCACTCACCACCTCGCTCACCCACTCACTCAGTCACTCAGACACTCACTCACCTACTCAGTCACTCACTCAGACACTCACTCAATCACTCACTCACTCAGTCAGCCACTCACTCACTCAGACACTCACTCAGTCAGACACTCACTCAGTCAGACACTCAGTCACTCACTCAGACACTCACTCAATCACTCACCACCAAGAACTACATCCGTACAGTCACAGACGTCAAGCCAGACTGGTGAGGGGATAACTCACCACCTCGCTCACCCACTCACTCACTCAGTCAGTCATTCACTCAGACACTCAGTCACTCACTCAGTCACTCAGTCAGTCAGTCATTCACTCAGACAGTCACTCAATCAGTCACTCATTCACTCAGACACTCAGTCACTCACTCAGACACTCAGTCAGTCAGTCATTCACTCAGACAGTCACTCAATCAGTCACTCATTCACTCACTCAGTCACTCACTCACTCACCACCTCGCTCACCCACTCAGTCACTCACTCAGTCACTCAGTCAGCCACTCAGTCACTCAGTCAGACAGTCAGTCAGTCAGACACTCACCCACTCACTCACTCAACCACTCACTCACTCACCCACTCAGACACTCAGTCACTCACTCAGTCACTCACCCACTCAGTCACTCACTCACTCAGTCAGCCACTCAGTCACTCAGTCAGACAGTCAGTCAGTCAGATACTCACCCACTCACTCAGTCACTCACTCAGTCACTCACCCACTCAGTCACTCACTCACTCAGTCAGCCACTCACTCACTCAGACACTCACTCAGTCAGACAGTCACTCAGTCACTCAGTCACTCACTCACTCAGTCACTCGCTCACTCAGTCACTCAACCACTCACCCACTCAGTCACTCAGTCAGGCACTCAGTCACTCACTCACCCACTCAGTCACTCGCTCACTCAGTCACTCACTCAGTCAGTCACTCAGTCACTCACTCAGTCACTCACTCAGTCACTCACCACCAAGAACTACATCCGTACAGTGACAGACGTCAAGCCAGACTGGTGAGGGGATAACTCACCACCTCGCTCACCCACTCACTCAGTCACTCATTCACTCAGACACTCAGTCACTCACTCAGACACTCAGTCACTCACTCACCACCTCGCTCACCCACTCAGCCACTCACTCAGACACTCAGACACTCAGTCACTCACTCACCACCTCGCTCACCCACTCAGCCACTCACTCAGACACTCAGACACTCAGTCACTCACCACCTCGCTCACCCACTCAGCCACTCACTCAGACACTCAGTCAGCCACTCAGTCACTCACTCACCACCTCGCTCACCCACTCAGTCACTCAGTCAGACACTCAGACACTCACTGTGTATCTCACTGTGTGTGTGTGTCACGGTGTGTGTGTCACTGTGTCTGTGTGTGTATACCTCACCGTGTGTCTGTGTGTGTCACTGTGTGTGTGTGTCTGTGTGTGTCTCTGTGTGTGTGTGTCTGTGTGTATCTCACTGTGTGTGTGTGTCTGTGTGTGTGTGTGTCACTGTGTGTGTCACTGTGTATGTGTGTGTCTCTGTGTGTGTGTGTGTATCTCACTGTGTGTGTCACTGTGTGTCTCTCTGTCTGTGTGTGTGTCTCTGTGTGTGTGTGTATCTCACTGTGTGTGTCTCTGTGTGTGTGTCTCACTGTGTGTGTGTCTCACTGTGTGTGTCTCTGTGTGTGTGTGTCACTGTGTATCTCACTGTGTGTGTGTGTCTGTGTGTATGTGTATCTCACTGTGTGTGTCTCTGTGTGTGTGTGTGTGTATCTCACTGTGTGTCACTGTGTGTGTCTGTGTGTGTCACTGTGTGTGTGTGTCTGTGTGTGTCTCTGTGTGTGTTTGTATCTCACTGTGTGTTTCTCTGTCTGTGTGTGTCTGTGTGTGTGTGTATCTCACTGTGTGTGTCTCTGTGTGTGTGTCTCACTGTGTGTGTGTCTCACTGTGTGTGTCACTTTGTGTGTCACGGTGTGTGTGTGTCACTGTGTGTCTCTCTGTCTGTGTGTGTCTCTGTATGTGTGTGTCACTGTGTGTGTGTGTCACTGTGTGTGTGTGTCTCTCTGTCTGTGTGTGTGTCACTGTGTGTCTCTCTGTCTGTGTGTGTGTGTCACTGTGTGTGTCTCTGTGTGTGTGTATTTCACTGTGTTTCTCTCTGTGTGTGTCTGTGTGTGTGTGTCACTGTGTGTCTCTCTGTCTGTGTGTGTGTATCTCACTGTGTGTATCTCTGTGTGTGTGTGTGTGTCACTGTGTCTGTGTGTGTATACCTCACCGTGTGTGTGTGTGTGTATCACTTTGTGTGTGTGTGTATCTCACTGTGTGTGTGTGTATCTCACTGTGTGTGTCTGTGTGTGTGTGTCACGGTGTGTCTCTCTGTCTGTGTGTGTCTCTCTGTCTGTGTGTGTGTCTGTGTGTGTGTATCTCTGTGTGTGTGTGTGTCACTGTGTCTGTGTGTGTATACCTCACTGTGTGTGTCTCTCTGTGTGTGTGTCTGTGTGTGTGTGTATCTCTCTGTGTGTGTATCTCTGTGTGTGTGTGTGTCACTGTGTCTGTGTGTGTGTGTCTCACTGTGTGTGTCTCTGTGTCTGTGTGTGTGTGTGTGTCACTGTGTCTGTGTGTGTATACCTCACCGTGTGTGTGTGTGTCACTTTGTGTGTGTGTGTATCTCACTGTGTGTGTGTGTCTGTGTGTGTGTGTGTCACTGTGTGTGTGTGTCACGGTGTGTGTATCTCACTGTGTGTGTGTGTCACTTTGTGTGTGTGTGTATACCTCACTGTGTGTGTGTGTGTGTCACTGTGTGTGTGTGTATCTCATGGTGTGTGTCTCTGTGTGTGTGTGTATCTCACTGTGTGTGTCACTGTGTGTGTCACTGTGTGTGTGTGTGTATCTCACTGTGTGTGTGTCACTGTGTGTGTGTCTGTGTGTGTGTGTCACTGTGTATCTCACTGTGTGTGTCACTGTGTGTGTGTGTATCTCACTGTGTGTGTGTGTGTGTCACTGTGTGTATCTCACTGTGTGTGTCACTGTGTGTATCTCACTGTGTGTGTCACTGTGTGTGTCACTGTGTGTGTGTGTATCTCACTGTGTGTGTGTCACTGTGTGTATCTCACTGTGTGTGTGTGTATCTCACTGTGTGTGTGTATCTCACTGTGTGTGTCTCTGTGTGTGTGTGTCACTGTGTGTGTCTCTGTGTGTGTGTCACTGTGTGTGTCTCTGTGTGTGTGTATCTCACTGTGTGTGTGTATCTCACTGTGTGTGTGTATCTCACTGTGTGTGTCTCTGTGTGTTTGTGTGTGTGTGTCACTTTGTGTGTCTCTGTGTGTGTGTGTCACTGTGTGTGTCACTGTGTGTGTGTGTGTCTGTGTGTGTGTGTATCTCACTGTGTGTGTATGTCTCTGTGTATCTCACTGTGTGTGTGTGTCACTGTGTGTGTGTGTGTCACTTTGTGTGTGTCTGTGTGTGTGTGTGTCTGTGTGTGTCACTGTGTGTGTATCTCACTGTGTGTGTGTCACTGTGTGTGTGTCTGTGTGTGTCTGTGTATCTCACTGTGTGTGTGTCACTGTGTGTGTCTCTATGTGTCTGTGTATCTCACTGTGTGTGTGTCACTGTGTGTGTGTATCTCACTGTGTGTGTCACTGTGTGTGTGTCACTGTGTGTGTGTGTGTGCCACTGTGTGTGTGTCACTGTGTGTGTCTGGGTGTGTGTGTGTGTGTATCTCACTGTGTGTGTATCTCACTGTGTGTGTGTCACGGTGTGTGTGTGTGTATCACTCTGTGTGTGTGTGTCTGTGTGTGTGTCACTGTGTGTGTATCTCACTGTGTGTATCTCACGGTGTGTGTCACTGTGTGTGTGTGTGTGTCTGTGTGTGTATCTCACTGTGTGTGTCTCACTGTGTGTGTGTCACTGTGTCTGTGTGTATCTCACTGTGTGTGTCACTGTGTGTGTGTGTCACTGTGTGTGTGTGTATCTCACTGTGTGTGTCACTGTGTGTGTGTGTCACTGTGTGTGTCACTGTGTGTGTGTGTCACTGTGTGTGTGTGTATCTCACTGTGTGTGTGTGTCACTGTGTGTGTGTGTCACTGTGTATCTCACTGTGTGTGTCACTGTGTGTGTGTCACTGTGTGTGTGTCACTGTGTGTGTGTCACTGTGTGTGTGTCACTGTGTGTGTCTCACTGTGTGTGTCTCACTGTGTGTGTGTCACTGTGTGTGTCACTGTGTGTGTGTGTGTCACTGTGTGTGTGTGTCACTGTGTGTGTGTCACTGTGTCTGTGTGTGTGTCACTGTGTGTGTGTCACTGTGTGTGTGTCACTGTGTGTGTGTCACTGTGTGTGTGTCACTGTGTTTGTGTCTGTGTGTGTGTGTCACTGTGTGTGTGTCACTGTGTGTGTGTCACTGTGTGTGTGTGTCACTGTGTGTGTGTGTGTCACTGTGTGTGTGTCACTGTGTGTGTGTCACTGTGTGTGTGTCACTGTGTCTGTGTGTGTGTCACTGTGTGTGTGTCACTGTGTGTGTGTCACTGTGTGTGTGTCACTGTGTGTGTGTCACTGTGTTTGTGTCTGTGTGTGTGTGTCACTGTGTGTGTGTCACTGTGTGTGTGTCACTGTGTGTGTGTGTCACTGTGTGTGTGTGTGTCACTGTGTGTGTGTCACTGTGTGTGTGTCACTGTGTGTGTGTCACTGTGTGTGTGTCACTGTGTGTGTATCACTGTGTGTATCTCACTGTGTGTGTGTCACTGTGTGTGTGTGTCACTGTTTATCTCACTGTGTGTGTGTCACTGTGTGTGTGTGTCACTGTGTGTATCTCACTGTGTGTGTGTCACTGTGTGTGTGTCACTGTGTGTGTATCACTGTGTGTATCTCACTGTGTGTGTGTCACTGTGTGTGTGTGTCACTGTTTATCTCACTGTGTGTGTGTCACTGTGTGTGTGAGTGTCACTGTGTGTATCTCACTGTGTGTGTGTCACTGTGTGTGTGTCACTGTGTGTGTGCCACTGTGTGTATCTCACTGTGTGTGTGTCACTGTGTGTGTATCACTGTGTGTGTATCACTGTGTGTATCTCACTGTGTGTGTATCTCACTGTGTGTGTCTGTGTGTGTGTCACTGTGTGTATCTCACTGTGTGTGTGTCTGTGTGTGTATCTCACTGTGTATCTCACTGTGTGTATCTCACTGTATCTCACTGTGTGTGTGTCACTGTGTATGTGTGTGTGTCACTGTGTGTATCTCACTGTGTGTGTGTCACTGTGTGTATCTCACTGTGTGTGTCACTGTGTGTGTGTCACTGTGTGTGTGCCACTGTGTGTATCTCACTGTGTGTGTGTCACTGTGTGTGTGTCACTGTGTGTGTGTCACTGTGTGTGTATCACTGTGTGTATCTCACTGTGTGTGTATCTCACTGTGTGTGTCTGTGTGTGTGTCACTGTGTGTATCTCACTGTGTGTGTGTCTGTGTGTGTATCTCACTGTGTATCTCACTGTGTGTATCTCACTGTATCTCACTGTGTGTGTATCTCACTGTGTGTGTCACTGTGTGTGTCACTGTGTGTGTGTGTATCTCACTGTGTGTGTCACTGTGTGTGTCACTGTGTGTGTGTATCTCACGGTGTGTGTCTCTGTGTGTGTGTGTATCTCACTGTGTGTGTATCTCACTGTGTGTGTGTGTGTCACTGTGTGTGTGTCACTGTGTGTGTGTGTGTATCTCACGGTGTGTGTCTCTGTGTGTGTGTGTATCTCACTGTGTGTGTCACTGTGTGTGTCACTGTGTGTGTGTGTATCTCACTGTGTGTGTCACTGTGTGTGTCACTGTGTGTGTGTGTCACTGTGTGTGTGTATCTCACTGTGTGTGTGTGTCACTGTGTGTGTCACTGTGTGTGTGTATCTCACTGTGTGTGTGTATCTCACTGTGTGTCTCACTGTGTATCTCACTCTGTGTGTATCTCACTGTGTGTGTGTGCAGGTTGATCCGCATAGCCCCCATGTACTACGACCTGTATGTGTGTCACTGTGTCTGTGTGTGTATACCTCACTGTGTGTGTATCTCACTGTGTGTGTCTGTGTGTATCTCACTGTGTGTGTGTGCAGGTTGATCCGCATAGCCCCCATGTACTACGACCTGTATGTGTGTCACTGTGTGTGTGTGTGTCACTGTGTCTGTGTGTGTATACCTCACTGTGTGTGTATCTCACTGTGTGTGTCTGTGTGTATCTCACTGTGTGTATGTGTCACTGTGTGTGTGTGTCTCACTGTGTATCTCACTGTGTGTGTATCTCACTGTGTGTGTGTGCAGGTTGATCCGCATAGCCCCCATGTACTACGACCTGTATGTGTGTCACTGTGTGTGTGTGTGTCACTGTGTCTGTGTGTGTATACCTCACTGTGTGTGTATCTCACTGTGTGTGTCACTGTGTGTGTGTGTCACTGTGTGTGTGTATCTCACTGTGTGTGTGTATCTCACTGTGTGTATCTCACTGTGTGTATCTCACTGTGTGTGTATCTCACTGTGTGTGTGTGCAGGTTGATCCGCATAGCCCCCATGTACTACGACCTGTATGTGTGTCACTGTGTGTGTGTGTGTCACTGTGTCTGTGTGTGTATACCTCACTGTGTGTGTATCTCACTGTGTATCTCACTCTGTGTGTATCTCACTCTGTGTGTATCTCACTGTGTGTGTGTGCAGGTTGATCCGCATAGCCCCCATGTACTACGACCTGTATGTGTGTCACTGTGTGTGTGTGTGTCACTGTGTCTGTGTGTGTATACCTCACTGTGTGTGTATCTCACTGTGTATCTCACTCTGTGTGTATCTCACTCTGTGTGTATCTCACTGTGTGTGTGTGCAGGTTGATCCGCATAGCCCCCATGTACTACGACCTGAGCAACTTCCCCCAGTGTGAAGCTCGCCGCCAACTTGAGAGGATCGCCGGCAAGCTGGAGAGCAAAGAGTACAGCCAGTACTGATCACAGAGACACACAGAGAGACACAGAGACAGGGGAGAGAGACACAGAGACAGGGGAGAGAGACAGAGAGAGAGAGAGCAAAGAGTACAGCCAGTACTGATCACAGAGACACACAGAGAGACAGAGAGACAGAGAGACAGGGGAGAGAGACACAGAGACAGGGGAGAGACAGGGGAGAGAGAGACACACAGAGAGAGCAAAGAGTACAGCCAGTACTGATCACAGAGACACAGGGGAGAGAGACAGAGACACACAGAGAGACAGAGAGACAGGGGAGAGACAGCGGAGAGAGAGACACACAGAGAGAGCAAAGAGTACAGCCAGTACTGATCACAGAGAGACAGGGGAGAGAGACAGAGACACACAGAGAGACGGAGAGACAGGGGAGAGACAGGGGAGAGAGAGACACACAGAGAGAGAGAGCAAAGAGTACAGCCAGTACTGATCACAGAGAGACAGGGGAGAGAGACAGAGACACACAGAGAGACAGAGAGACAGGGGAGAGACAGGGGAGAGAGACAGAGACACACAGAGAGACAGAGAGACAGGGGAGAGACAGCGGAGAGAGAGACACACAGAGAGAGCAAAGAGTACAGCCAGTACTGATCACAGAGAGACAGGGGAGAGAGACAGAGACACACAGAGAGACAGAGAGACAGGGGAGAGACAGGGGAGAGAGACAGAGACACACAGAGAGACAGAGAGACAGGGGAGAGACAGCGGAGAGAGAGACACACAGAGAGAGCAAAGAGTACAGCCAGTACTGATCACAGAGAGACAGGGGAGAGAGACAGAGACACACAGAGAGACAGAGAGACAGGGGAGAGACAGGGGAGAGAGACAGAGACACACAGAGAGACAGAGAGACAGGGGAGAGACAGCGGAGAGAGAGACACACAGAGAGAGCAAAGAGTACAGCCAGTACTGATCACAGAGACACAGGGGAGAGAGACAGAGACACACAGAGAGACAGAGAGACAGGGGAGAGACAGGGGAGAGACAGCGGAGAGAGAGACACACAGAGAGAGCAAAGAGTACAGCCAGTACTGATCACAGAGAGACAGGGGAGAGAGACAGAGACACACAGAGAGACACAGAGACAGGGGAGAGACAGGGGAGAGAGACAGAGACACACAGAGAGACAGAGAGACAGGGGAGAGACAGGGGAGAGACAGCGGAGAGAGAGAGACACACAGAGAGAGCAAAGAGTACAGCCAGTACTGATCACAGAGAGACAGAGAGACACAGAGACAGGGGAGAGAGACACAGAGACAGGGGAGAGACAGGGGAGAGAGAGCAAAGAGTACAGCCAGTACTGAACACAGAGAGACAGAGAGACAGGGGAGAGAGACACAGAGACAGGGGAGAGAGACGCAGAGACAGGGGAGAGAGACGCAGAGACAGGGGAGAGACAGGGGAGAGACAGGGGAGAGAGAGCAAAGAGTACAGCCAGTACTGATCACAGAGAGACAGGGGAGAGAGACAGAGACACACAGAGAGACAGAGAGACAGGGGAGAGACAGCGGAGAGAGAGACACACAGAGAGAGCAAAGAGTACAGCCAGTACTGATCACAGAGAGACAGGGGAGAGAGACAGAGACACACAGAGAGACAGAGAGACAGGGGAGAGACAGCGGAGAGAGAGACACACAGAGAGAGCAAAGAGTACAGCCAGTACTGATCACAGAGAGACAGGGGAGAGAGACAGAGACACACAGAGAGACAGGGGAGAGACAGGGGAGAGACAGGGGAGAGACAGCGGAGAGAGAGACACACAGAGAGAGCAAAGAGTACAGCCAGTACTGATCACAGAGAGACAGAGAGACACAGAGACAGGGGAGAGAGACACAGAGACAGGGGAGAGAGACACAGACAGGGGAGAGACAGGGGAGAGAGAGACACAGAGAGAGAGCAAAGAGTACAGCCAGTACTGATCACAGAGAGACAGGGGAGAGAGACAGAGACACACAGAGAGACAGAGACAGGGCAGAGACAGGGGAGAGACAGGGGAGAGAGAGACACAGAGAGAGCAAAGAGTACAGCCAGTACTGATCACAGAGACACACAGAGAGACACAGAGACAGGGGAGAGAGACACAGAGACAGGGGAGAGACAGGGGAGAGAGAGACACACAGAGAGAGCAAAGAGTACAGCCAGTACTGATCACAGAGACACACAGAGAGACAGAGACACACAGAGAGACAGAGAGACAGGGGAGAGTGACACAGAGACAGGGGAGAGACAGGGGAGAGAGAGACACACAGAGAGAGCAAAGAGTACAGCCAGTACTGATCACAGAGACACACAGAGAGACAGAGAGACAGGGGAGAGTGACACAGAGACAGGGGAGAGACAGGGGAGAGAGAGACACAGAGAGAGAGCAAAGAGTACAGCCAGTACTGATCACAGAGAGACAGAGAGACAGAGAGACAGGGGAGAGAGACACAGAGACAGGGGAGAGAGACGCAGAGACAGGGGAGAGACAGGGGAGAGAGAGCAAAGAGTACAGCCAGTACTGATCACAGAGAGACAGAGACACACAGAGACAGGGGAGAGAGACACAGAGACAGGGGAGAGACAGGGGAGAGAGACACACAGAGAGAGCAAAGAGTACAGCCAGTACTGATCACAGAGACACACAGAGAGACAGAGAGACAGGGGAGAGGGACAGGGGAGAGAGAGACAGGGGAGAGAGAGAGCAAAGAGTACAGCCAGTACTGAACACAGAGACACAGGGGGAGAGAAACAGAGACAGGGGAGAGACAGGGGAGAGAGACAGAGACACAGAGACAGGGGAGAGAGACAGAGAGAGAGAGCAAAGAGTACAGCCAGTACTGATCACAGAGAGACAGAGAGACACAGAGACAGGGGAGAGAGACACAGAGACAGGGGAGAGACAGCGGAGAGAGAGACACACAGAGAGAGCAAAGAGTACAGCCAGTACTGATCACAGAGAGACAGGGGAGAGAGACACAGAGACAGGGGAGAGACAGGGGAGAGAGACAGCGGAGAGAGAGCAAAGAGTACAGCCAGTACTGATCACAGAGAGACAGGGGAGAGAGACAGAGACACACAGAGAGACAGAGAGACAGGGGAGAGACAGGGGAGAGACAGCGGAGAGAGAGACACACAGAGAGAGCAAAGAGTACAGCCAGTACTGATCACAGAGAGACAGAGAGACACAGAGACAGGGGAGAGAGACAGAGACACACAGAGAGACAGAGAGACAGGGGAGAGACAGGGGAGAGAGAGACACAGAGAGAGAGAGCAAAGAGTACAGCCAGTACTGATCACAGAGACACAGAGACACAGAGAGACAGGGGAGAGACAGGGGAGAGACAGGGGAGAGACAGGGGAGAGAGAGAGAGACACAGAGAGAGCAAAGAGTACAGCCAGTACTGAACACAGAGACACACAGAGAGACAGAGACACAGGGGAGAGAGACACAGGGGAGAGAGAGACACACAGAGACACAGAGACAGGGGAGAGAGAGACAGTGAGAGACAGGGGAGAGAGAGCAAAGAGTACAGCCAGTACTGAACACAGACACAGGGGGAGACACACAGAGAGACAGGGGAGAGACAGAGACACAGGGGAGAGACAGAGACACAGGGGAGAGACAGAGACACAGGGGAGAGACAGAGACACAGGGGAGAGACAGACAGAGAGAGCAAAGAGTACAGCCAGTACTAAACACAGAGACACACAGAGAGACAGGGGAGAGAGACAGAGACACAGAGAGAGACAGGGGAGAGAGACACAGAGAGAGACAGGGGAGAGACAGAGACACAGGGGAGAGAGAGCAAAGAGTACAGCCAGTACTAAACACAGACAGAGAGAGACAGAGACACAGAGACACAGGGGAGAGACAGGGGAGAGAGAGACACACAGAGACACAGAGAGACAGGGGAGAGAGAGACACACAGAGACACAGAGAGACAGGGGAGAGAGAGACACAGGGGAGACACGCAGAGACAGGGGAGAGAGAGACACACAGAGAGACAGAGAGACAGGGGAGAGAGAGACACACAGAGACACAGAGAGACAGGGGAGAGAGAGACACACAGACACAGAGAGACAGGGGAGAGAGAGACACATAGAGACACAGAGAGACAGGGGAGAGAGAGACACACAGAGACACAGAGAGACAGGGGAGAGAGAGACACACAGAGACACAGAGAGACAGGGGAGAGAGAGACACACAGAGACACAGAGAGACAGGGGAGAGAGAGAGACACACAGAGACACAGAGAGACAGGGGAGAGAGAGACACACAGAGACACAGAGAGACAGGGGAGAGAGAGAGACACACAGAGACACAGAGAGACAGGGGAGAGAGAGACACACAGAGAGACAGGGGAGAGAGAGACACACAGAGACACAGAGAGACAGGGGAGAGAGAGACACAGGGGAGAGACACACAGAGACAGGGGAGACAGAGACACACAGAGAGAGAGACACACAGAGAGAGCAAAGAGTACAGCCAGTACTGAACACAGAGACACACAGGGACAGAGACACACAGAGAGACACACAGAGACAGAGAGAGACACACACAGAGAGACACACAGAGACAGAGAGACACAGAGACAGGGGAGAGAGACAGACAGAGACACACAGACACACAGACAAAAAGAAACACAGACAGATACAGAGAGAGACACAGCGACAGAGAGACACAGATAGACAGACAGAGAGACACAGAGACAGCGGAGAGACAGGAGAGAGACTCCCAGTACTGAGAGCCAGAGAGAGGAGTACAGTGCTATACAACTAGTCCCTTTGAACTGTCACTCACTCAGACACTCACTCAGACACTCACTCAGACACTCAGTCACTCACTCAGACACTCACTCAGTCACTCACTCAGACACTCAGTCACTCACTCAGACACTCACTCAGACACTCACTCAGACACTCACTCACTCAGACACTCACTCAGACACTCACTCACTCAGACACTCACTCAGACACTCACTCAGACACTCACTCAGACACTCACTCAGGCACTCACACTCAGACACTCACTCAGACACTCACTCAGACACTCGCTCACTCAGACACTCACTCAGACACTCAGACATTCACTCACTCAGACACTCACACAGA